CAAAATGACTAGTATCTGTGATAATAAACACACTGGTCTCATTTCACAGTCTATTATTATTAGTTATGCCTATTTCCAATTATTTTTAAAACTTTTTACTTAGAGAAAAATTCAAACATAAAAGTGACAGCACAGTATAAAAGAACTTCACTGTACCAATTACCCAGATTCAATCATTATCCACTCCAAAACAGTGTCTCAATTAATTGTGAATACAGGTATTAAATGTCCCTGAGGGCAAAATCACCACTAGCTGAAAATCACTGAACTGGCCACATGTGGCTACTTAAGTGTAAATTAGTTAAAATTAAATAAAACTTGAACTTCAGACAGTCACCAGCCATATTTCAAATGCTCAATTTCACACAATTAGTGACTACAACATAGGACAGTGCAGATATAGAATATTTCTAGCATGATGAAAATTTCTATTGGACAGGACTAGTGTACAAATGTAGGCTCAATACTGGAAAGAACAAACACTGGAACAACAACAACAAAAAAAAAAAACATTTCCTGGGGCTAGAGACATAGCTCAATTGGTAGAGTGTTTGCCTTGCATGCACAAGGCCCTGGGTTCAAACCCCAGCACCACTAAAAAAAAAAAAAAAATTCCCAGCAAAATTCAAGATTTTTTCATTTCTAAAAAATATTTACCTACTCGGATTTAGTTTTCTAATATGATTTATTTTATGGACAGTATTCATGTTTTAATTCTTAAATAACCTGAAGATTTTATACAAGAAAATAATATTTCTGCCAAAGTATATACACAGCATTCTTAAATAATTTCAAATGAGGGCTTTAAACTACAGCAATAAGACTTGCAGTAATAAATATTTTATAAAGAGGATTTGCTTCTGCCAACAACAACAAAAAAAGTCTTATCAAAGACAACATAGGCCAGCAGAAGTAACTTTTGTAAGACACAGTAGTTTAGTGACCACAGTCTGCACCTTCTCTCAGTCTTCTCTTTTTCCTCCTTTACTTTCTTATTCTCCTGCATTTCCATGTTCTATGATTATTTTGACATGACCCAAAAGCTCGTATTAACCCCACTGGTAGAATTCAGAACAAATAACAGCTGTTACTCCTGTTTAAACAATCACTACTAAAATAAAACATGTAACTATTATTTATGGTCAAGACAACACTAGCATTTACTAATGGAAGGGTAATTATCCGTTCTCACACATCTTCAATTAAATACCCATCTTTAACGTGAAAATATCATACCCTAAAAAAATGCACTTTCAAACAATTTAATACTAACAGCTACTCATTGGTATCATATTAAACATATTACATATATATTTCCTCAATTAATACTAAAATCTTTATGAGATGGCTATTGTTTTCCCTACCTTATAAATTAGTAAACTGAGACTTGACCAAGTAACTTGACCAAGGCCTTCACAGCTGGTGACAGAGCTGGAATCTGAACCCATACTCTTAACCAAAGTTAAGAACACTGAGAGTACCAAATTGTGAGATGGAAGACTTGATCATAGATGCTGACTATGACAAATCATAGAATTATGAATCTTAAACATAGGAAGAGTCCTTGATAGTGATTAGGCAGTTATTTCACATGTTTTCAACTTCCTGGCCGACTCCAGACAAGTATAAAGTATATACATAACGTCTAAGGTCATAACACAATTTTATTTAGGGATAACAGTGATTATGTCCAAAAACAAAACAGAATAATGTTTACATAGAATTTGGTTGTGTTTTACTGTTGTTGTTTTGTTTTTACAGTACTGGTGACTGAACCTAGGGGTCCTCTACTACATCAGCAACCCACCTGCTGTTTTTGAGACTGGGTCTAAATTACCAAGGCTTCACCGAACTTAGGATCCTCCTGCTTCAGCCTCCAGAGTCTCAGGGATTACAAGTGTGTACAACCATGCCTGGCTAGAATTTGTATTTTCTGATGTGAAACATCAACAAGTGACATTCTGGGGTTATAAGAAACTACAATTCTCAATTTTAAAAAATGGCATTAGAATTTATAACTTATGCTTAATTTAAAGAGATAAAATTAAATCAGAAATTATTCTAAAACATTAAGAAATTCCCTTGATACCTGGCAAGTTCTTAAAGAATCATTTATTAGCTCCATGGAGTCACAAATTTTTGTGACTCTACAATATTCATTTATTCAATAAGTTCTAAATACGTACAAGTTCTAGAAGTCATTCACAAATTAAGATATATCCTGCTCTAGAATATGATAGAATAGATTCTCTGTAAGACCCTTAAATCTTGGTACAGGCATCTCCTTTGAATTACGTCATTCTTATATTAAAAACATACTTCCAAAGTACACTTGGAACTAAATTTCAGTGAACAAAATATGACAAAAATCTAAAGGTTTGGGCTGGGGTTGTGGCTCAGTGCTAGAGCACTTGCCTAGCACGTGTGAGGCACTGGGCTCTATTCTCAGCACCATATATAAATAAATAAAAACCCACTGATAACTAAACAACATTAAAAAAAATCTAAAGGTTTATGTACAGGCAGCAATGCAACTTCTGAAAATAGCATGCATGCACTTTAAAGTCAAGACTTTAAATTTGAATCTCAACTCTGAAAACTGCTAACTATAGAAATTGGGCAACTTTTCTAATAATTCCAATTATTCATCAATAAAATGGAGATAATGCTATTTACCTTAAAAAGTTATTAAATTTCTAGTATAGCAGCTAACATGAAGAGGCCATTTTCAATTCTCTTTCACACAGGTCATAGAAAAGTCCATCAAAAGATGAGAAACTTTTCAACTTATGACTACTGGATTTTATTACTCCAATTCTTAATTTTTATATTGAGGCAGCAGCAGTGAGATCTGCCCAAGAATATATACAACTGATTTAGTGGCAGCCCAGTGCTCTTTACCATTATATTGGCTGCCCGTAAGATTTTTTTTTTTAAATGATTCAAATCAGTACATATTTGCATTATGTTAACTTAAAAAAATTAAACTGGGCATTAACTTATATTTTTAAAAATTCTAAAATTTATTTTAATAAATTCAAGCTCTACTTCATCAAGTGTTTCCAAAAGTTTTTCTCATTAAAAACTAGAACTTTAGATAGATTCTATCTTAAAAATCAAGATAAAAATTAATGATCTTTCAATCAAAATGATTAATGATCTGCTCTCACAAATTATTTTACTGAATACAACTATATTCAGACAGCCCTTAAAAGGAAACCATACTTCAAAACCACCTTCCTAGCTCCCAAAATAGTGCCGGGCACTGGCTGTATATTTTATTTGGTTTTCTAAATATACCCTGAACTTCCAAAAGACAGTAAAACTACTTTACTGATAAAACAGATACCAATGGAGTGTACTGGGAGAGAGGGGGCAGAGAAAAGTGGTGTTTCCCTTTTAAAGATATTCTTTTGTAAAGTACATATGGACTATGTATGAAATCACAATCAGACTGGTCTGAAAATACTTGAGTGAGAAAATACTGTTTTACCTTTTAATTCTGTGTTATTCAAAGTGTTCTAAGGGCAGAAGAGCACAGATGTGGTATCTCCCAATCTTTGATTTTATTCTTTAAAAAAAAAAAAAAAAAAGTCCTAATACATCAAGTGACATTAAAAATCTTTAGAATTTCACCAGAGTTCAAAAACGGTTTTCCTGATGATTCGTCCAATTTTTATGAAAACCTAAAAACTATGAGTAACAGTTTTACTTGGTTGGATGCATCACTTGTACAGGTTCTTTAAGAATAATAGTTAAAGGTCCGGTCACTATAAACCTCCAAAGGTCCGGTGTACCCCTAAACCTGGCAGGGGACTCTGCCAACCTGGAGACCCAACACCCTGAGATCATTTCCTTAGTCCCACAATACTAGCCAGAGAGAACTGGAGCCCTGGAGTGAAGGCGAGGCGAGGAAATCAACCGGCCTGCGATTAAAAGGAAGTCAACGAAGCAGCTCATGGCCACCAGCCCCAAGTACACCCCAAGTCCCTTCCCCTCCACACGCCTCTCCCACGGATCCCCGCTCTGGCTCACTACACCTAACGCGCTTCCCCGCCACAACTCCCCTTCCTACCGAGAACCAGTCACCTTCGCGTGCCATCCTCGCCCCGACCCAAGCTTCGCGCCCCACACTCCCTCACCACCGCAGACTCCCCGGCAGGTCTCGCTACTCCACAGCCTCCCACACGCACCCTCCCCACGTCCTCGCCCCCGCTTCCCTCGCGACTCCCAGAGAGCTTTCCCCAACCTCCCCCTCGCTCTACTCCACGCCCCCAAACACCTTCGCCCCGCCACAGCAAGCTCCCCGCCTCCAGCCCCGAGGCCCGGCCCAAGCGTGAGGGACAGGCACCTCCTCCATCACCCCTCACGCCTGCCCGGGCCGCGGGGCTCCCGCGTTGATGAGAACCTCGGGGAAAGAGGTCTGAGGAGGGCGACGCCGGACCCGCGGTGCCTCTACTGCTCGCCGCCCCCGGAGAGCTGGGGTGCCGAGTCGCCTCTTGGGTCCCTCAGGAAGTAGGAGTCCAGGCCGGTGTCCCTTAGCCCCGCTCCCTCCCGATCGTTGGAGCGGAGAGGAAGGAGGTTCCCCGGGACTCACCTCGAGCCTGTTGTCAACATTAGCCCCGGGTTTCCCAGCACCAACTCCAGCACTCGGGCTCTCCCCTCCCCTCCCCCCACCTATCTCGCAGCCGAGGGCCCGCCTTCCCTCCGCTCCCCCTCCTCCCTCCGCCCGCCGGCCCTCCCGCCCGCCACTCACCAGCGCGGCCGGGCTGCGAGTGGGGGCGGGGCGCAGGGAAGTGGAAAGGAAGAAGCTGTCTGCGTTATGGCCGGATAGAAAACATCCCAGATCATTCATTCTCGGGCTTGTCGAAGTCCTCCACTTAGCCCTAGTTTGGAATATCTGGATCAAGGTCTCAAAAAGGCGTTATTCCCTTAAGAGTTAGTTCAGATCGCCTAGTCGAAGGGAATTTTTCAATCAGGCAGTAGTTAGGACAGCCGATACCTGCACCTCCAGCCAGGGCCCCAGCAGAAGGGAGGAGTGTTCCAAGGACCGGAGGCAGGAAGTGGATTGGTCGCCAGGAAAGGGAAAGCGCCTGAATTGGAGATGCGCAAGCGCAGGCACTTCGCAGGTGGCGGGGAGTAGCGAGAATGAGGCGGGGCTAGGCTAACTGGAGGCGAGGAGGAGCGGTGGAATAGCAGAATTACGGAGCGCTGTTAAGGACAAGTTTGGTCGCGTGATTCTCATCGGGGTGTCCCGATGCGAACCGTAAGGTGGAGGTTCAAGTAGGGAAAGTTTGATTGGACTAATTCAAGGGGAGAGGTTTGAAGATTTAGGAAATTGGAGCAGGGGGAGAAGGTAGAAACTGCTAAAATATGGGTCTAGATTGATGAGTGCCCTAAATGACTCCGAAAGTCCCGTAGGGGAATTTCCAGAAGCAGCTTCGGGTGTTCTACCTAAAACATAAAATGAAGAAAAAATTGACGTACCTTGTGTTCTAGCAAGCGAATTTTAAAAATTACAACGAACTCACTCGTTAAAAAAATAAGGTTAGTCTTGTTTCCCGAATGCGAACCAAAGTCAACTTTTTAAGATGGATATCAGCTGCTCCACGCTACACACTTCCTGTTCGATTGCTGAAATTGTGCATCTGAAACACTTTTAAGATTTGTCAGCATAATTTGGTTGGATGTTGTTACCGGTTGGCTTTGGTTGGTCGGAAGCCAAAGGAACAAAGGTACAAAACTAGTCTTCATTCTTGCTTGACATGGGGCGCCCCACTGGATAACCAAGCCCAGAAAATGAGCTGCTACACAACCTCAAATACTTGAGGTAGGTCTAGATTCCCTTTTATTCAGCCTTTGTTTCTGCCTCTATTTACTGTTTTATGTCCCATTTATTCTTTTTTTTTTTAAGAGAGAGGAGGAGAGACAGCGGGGAGAGACAGAGAGAGAGAATATTTTTTAATATTTATTTTTCAGTTTTCGGTGGACACAACATCTTTATTTTATGTGGTGCTGAGGATCCAACCCAGCGCCCCGCGCATGCCAGGCGAGCGCGCTACCGCTTGAGCCACATCTCCAGCCCCCATTTATTCTTAGCATGCAAATGACCCCCCTCAAACTGAGTGTTGGCGCTTGGGGGGGGGGGTTATCACTAGATCACGCATTTCAAGGGTCGCAAAAGAGAGAAAGATGAACACTAATATATTTCATGGATAAATGATTAAGACAGCTGTTCAAAAACACCAAACCTGTGTCAGCCACCCAAAATTCTCTTCAAAGTTTCCTTATTTTGTGTAACTACTTTAAGTGGGTTTACTTCACTATTAGTAAATTAAGTCCTCATCCTAAATCAAGTTAACCTTTGCCTTTCATTAGATGTTAAAAACAAATTATGTGAATGGAGGAATCAAAAGAGAAGAAGAGGGGGCTGAAGATGTAAGTCACTAGTACAATGCTACTCTGCAAGGCCTGGGTTAGATCCCCTCTACTGCAAAAAACATATTCACAAGAAGGTCTTGTTATTCAACTAGAGATATCAAATGGACTGCTGGAGTATGGGGGAGCTTTGTCCGACAGATGAAAATTAAGAGCATCATCAACATAAGTAATGCAGATGATCCTTGACATATGATGGAGGTAGAGCCTTATAAACATATTGTAAATTGAATATAAGTAAAAAAGTGTATTCAATATATTTAACCTATCAAACATCCTAACACAGCAACAAAGTACACTACTAGTGTTCCCCCTTCTTACCAGGTGACTAATTTAGCTGCCATGGCCCAGCAGTACTACTACATTGTGTTTTGCAGCCCAGGGAAAAGATCAAAATTAGAAACATGTTTCTATTGACAGTTCTATTCATGGCATTGTAAAGTCAAAAAATGACATGTTGAAGCATAGGAAGTTGGGGCCCATTTGCATCTACAGCATTAAGAATAGGTAAGATCACCAAAGAAAATATATCAAGAAAAGGACAAGGACTAAACCCTGAGAACCTTCTAAATATAGAGAAGTCAGGTCTCTAAACAAGAGAGTGAATGAGGAAAAGGAAAACCAGGAGAGTGTGATAGTTCAGAAGCCAAGGAAAATTAACACCATAGGGACCAACAGTGACCTTATAAAATGCAGGTCATTGAAGTAGGGCCAGGTTGGAGTAGCTGAAGACTTGAGTTGGAGATGGAAAAAGATATTTCAGAAATTGTATCAAGAAGAGCAGCAGAAAAATACAACTGTAGAAGAATGTGAGGTGAGGGTGGACTTTTTTTTTTCTTTTAGGATTTTGATTTTTTATCTTTTATATGAGATGTATTGTAGAAAATGTTTTCTAATGGTAATGATTCAATGGAGAGGGAAATATTGATGATGTAGGAGACAGCAAAAAGACCACTATAGTAGCAAAGTCCTTGTGGTGGCAAGAAGGTATGGAATTTTAAGTACAAGCGGAAAGAATGCCATTGGTAGAGGCAGGGACATTTCTACATTGTATTAAGACAGTGATGATGGGCATGTATACAATCTGGTTTTTAAATTAGGAGAGGGTCTAGAAAGGATATCTTTCATGATCACTCCTATTTTTTGGTGAAATTCGAGGCACAGTCATTAGCTAGGAGGTGAGGGAGAGAATGGAGAAGGTTTGAAAAGAGAGGAGAAAACATGAGACACTTTGAAGAGAAGTGAGATCCCTTCTGAGAAGCTATTTGAGTTTTGTGATCATGAATTTGAAGTAAAACATCCAGTTTGCATGAATCTGTTTCTCCAAAAGGGTTTTGAGGGTTTTTCCATGAGAGAGAAGAGTAAGATGACACAAGTCTGTAATGCCAGCAGTTCTGAAGGCCAAGACAGGAGGATGGTAAATTTGAGGCTAGCCTCTACAACTCAGCAAGACCCTGCCTCAAAATAAAAAATAAGTAATAAGAATAAAGAACTGGGCTGGAGTGCCTGTGGGTTCAATCCCCAGTACTTAAGGAAAACCTGGGGTGGGGGGGAGGCAATAAGGGAATTGAGGTGTTTGCCAGAGAATGATTAGAATGAAAAACCATAGAATCTAAACTGGGTGAGGAAGGAAGAAAAGGGAAATGAGGAACGTGTGAGAGTGTGGATGGGAGTAGTGGGTGACAGTAGTGAAAGTTGCAAAGAATTTAGGAAGTAGCCCTAAACCTTAGTCAATTAACATACACTAGGAGAGGAGAATGCGCTTGATCCTGAGGGGCTGCAGTAGCTGTGAGTTGTTTTTTTTTTGTTGTTGTTGTTTTGTTTTTGGTACCAGGAATTGAACCCAGGGCCCCTCCTTTTTTTTTTTTTTTTTTTTTTTGTACTTCATTAGAGACGGGGTCTTGCTTAGTTGCATAGGGTTTTGCTAAGTTGTGTAGGGCAACTACGAGACATTTTAATCCAAATATTAGGAATCTGTGCCAAGACAATGAACTTCAAAAATGAAGATTGAAAAGAAAGTTAGGGGGTTTCTCATTTATTGTAATGGATATTGACAGAGGTTTGCAAATAAAATCATCAGTTCTCATTTTTGGTTTCACTTTTTGCCCAACAGAATAACTAGTCTCAGTATTCTTTGGGGGAAGTAGTGACAAGCTAACTCTGCCATCTAATTGGTCTTTATTATTGAATTTCCTCCTGTGTTTCTGAGTCCCTGCTCTGGGACATCTGTAATGAAAAGTATAAAATTCAATATATACTTCAGACCTAAAATCCAAAATTGAACTTAACACTCATCCCCCACCCCTACCTTTTTATATATATATATATATATGTATATATATATATATATATATATATATATTCATTCTAATTTGTTATATATGACAATAGAATGCATTACAATTCATATTACACATATAGAGCACAATTTTTCATATCTCTGGTTGTACACAAGTATATTCACACCATTCGTGTCTTCATACATGTACTTTGGATAATGATGTCCATCTCATTCCACCATCATTTCTAACCCCATACCCCCTCCCTTCCCTTCCCACCTCTTTGCCCTATCTAGAGTTTGTCTATTCCTCCCATGCTCCCCCTCCCTACCCCACTATGAATCAGCCTCCTTTTATCAGAGAAAACATTTGGCATTTGTTTTTGGGGGATTGGCTAACTTCACTTACCATTATATTCTTTAACTCTGTCCATTTACCTGCAAATACCATGATTTTATTTTCTTTTATTGATGAGTAATATTCCATTGTGTATATATGCCACATTTTTTATCCATTCGTCTACTTGAGGGCCCTTTTTATACTCTTTTAGTTATTGAAGCCAGAGTTCCCACTCCTCATCCCTTGTCCATATGCTGTCAATATGTCTTAAAAGGACCTTGACCAGGTCCTCCTTTTTATCTACTGCTGCAACCTTAGTTCAGCCCATGTCAACTCACTTCTGCTATTGCCAACCATCTCTTGATTTCTCTCCCTGTTGCATCTAATCTTGCCCCTACTCACCTTAGAGAGTATTGTTTGGAACACAAATCAGATTGTTTCACTTCCTTGCTAACAACTCTTCTATGGCAATGATCTCCAGACTTCTTTACTCTCATATCCCTGTAGGGGAATGGGAGGAAGGCATGCACTTCCAACCTATGTTGTATGTTCAGATAGAAATGATGTGTGTAATAGGGAGGAAGAGCATGAGAAGAAGATTACCACTAAATAGGGAAGAGAGGTGGGAGGGAAAAGGAGGAAGAAGGGGAGTTGCACGGAAGATGGAAGGAAACCCTCATTGTTATACAGAATACATGTATGATGTTGTGAGGCGAAAAAGAAAAAAAAGTGTGTCACATTAGATTGGATAGAGAGAAGTAATGGGAGAGGTGGGGAGGGGAAGGGGAGATAGGAAGGGCAGCAGAATAGATTAGAAATTATGATTGCTGAATGTATATAGGTGACTGTATGACCAATGTGATTCTGCAATCTGTACAATCAGAAAAATGAGAAATTATACCCCAATTGATTCAAATGTATGAATTGCCAAGATCATTGTAATGTCATGTGTAACTAATAAAAAAAAATGATGTGTGTATATATAGTACTATACAAATGTTTACCTTATAATATCCCAAAATAGAAAAGATAACAATAAGTAAAACAGAAGTTCTAATACTTTTGCCTAACTGGATCATCTTAAGCTTCCCTTTTTTACTTTTTTTATTTTTTTGTAGTTGTTTGATGGACAGCATGCCTTTATTTGTTTCATTTTTACGTGGTGCTAAGGATTGAACCCAGTGCCTCACACATGCTAGGCAAGTGCTCTGCCACTGAGCTACAGCCCCAGCCATTGAGTTTCCCTTTCTGCCAAGCCCTTTTGGAGCCACTGGCTTAGAGGGTACTACTCAATTCTTAGCACAAAAGTTCTTATCCATGGGCTCTTTTCTATACATATAGTCTCATTCCCTGCTATTTCCCTGCATGTCTAAATTCCAACCATAACAGATAGCCTGCATGTACTGGGCTTCATGTGTGCATATCATGACTGCCAAGAATGTGCTTTCTCCCATGACCATTTCCAGACCAGTTAGGTTAGGGATTATTTACTAGAGGAAGTCATTTTTTATCACCACCATTCCACATATCAAATGAGGTCCCCATAAAAGCCTGTCATCAACCATATTATAACTTTTGTTATGCTTCATTAGAATAATTTGTGTTTTGCCCATAAAACTGTAAGCTTTTTAATTAATATAATGAGTAGATTTCTTAAAACTTAGCCTTGCTTGCATTCCTGAAATAAATCTCCTCACAAAGTGTATTTATTATAAATGAAGTTTTGTTTTTTTTTTAACTATAAACTCCTCCAGGCTATGATTTGTATTTCATTGACCTTTGTGTCCTAGGGCCAAAGGGCACTTAATAAAATATTGATGGATTAATAAGTGAATGAATGCTTTCTTGGTAAAGATACTTAAGCAGACATGTATAAGAGGAAATCATAGCCTGGAGTTTCATATTTATTTACCAAGCAATATATCAACTCTTTTTTTTTTTTTAAGAGAGAGAGAATTTTTTTTTAATATTTATTTTTCAGTTTTTCGGCGAACACAACATCTTTGTATGTGGTGCTGAGGATCGAACCCCGGCCGCATGCATGCCGGGGGAGCACACTACAGCTTGAGCCACATCCCCAGCCCCAATATATCAACTCTTAACAAACCAAATATAGGACTCCAGACCTGTTTTAAAGCTAATTCAACTTTTTAATGAGTGTTGAATGGAAATATCTTAGTGTATGTCAAGCATTAATCCACCCAATAATTGTATTGTTGGTGCTAATTCTGTTTTTACAGAGGGACAAAACTAAGACAGCACAGTTAAATATTGTGTTCAAGATCAAACAGCTACTGAATAGAATCTCAGTTCAGGTCTCTATGATGCCAAAGTTCATGCTCTTATGTAATACTTCCTGCCTTCTCTGTTCTAGGATTTTCCCCACCTGATATGACCGAGTACCACACACATTACAATGCATACATCCCTGTGGATATAATGAGGACTAAGAAGAGGCCTGATTATATAATCTACTTCTACCAAGACCAATGCATATGATAAAACAAGAATATCTGCTTGGGTTTGGGGGCGTAGCTTTATGGTAGAGTGCTTACCTAGTGTGCTGAAGGTCCTGCATTTCAGTCCCCAACATTGCAAAAGGAAAAAAATGTTAAAAAAAGAATGACTGCCTGGGTGAGACCAGTGTATTGCCAAATCCAGACCCATGCTAATGCAAAGAAAAGGTGAAGCTGGGGAGCAAAGACCTACTGTCGAGTCTTAGAGCCACAGCACAGGCAACACGGAAGAACGGAGCTAGTCATCGTAAACCCTCTGTCATCTGATGCCTCATTTTAAAAATGAATAGAGGTTACATTTCAGAATTTCAAACTTTCTGATTTTCAGACATTTACCACTGCTTCCAAATGTTTCAGAATCCATGTACAGGGCTGGGGATGTGGCTCAAGCGGTAGCGCGCTCACCTGGCATGCGTGCGGCCTGGGTTCAATCCTCAGCACTACATACAAAAAAAAACAAAAGATGTTGTGTCCGCCGAAAACTAAAAAATAAATATTAAAAAATTCTCTCTCTCTCTCTCTCTCTCTCTCTCTCTCTCTCTCTTAAAAAAAAAGATGTTGTGTCCACCGAAAACTAAAAAAATAAATTTAAAAATTAAAAAAAAAAAGAATCCATGTACAAAATTAGTTGTCTTCATTATTCAGAATGATAATGTCACATTGATAAATAGAGATAGAAAAAAGTTATAATACAGAGTCTTTTGCAGTGGCTTTACTCTTGTCAGTTGCCAAAGGTAAGTGAAAGAAGTAGATGTCATTTCTAACTTGTTTCTTCTGAAAGGTACTACACCACAGACACAATAACATTAAACTTGCCTCACTTTCCCCTGGAAGCTGTAGGAAGGAACATTGCATTGGTTCCTATTTAATGACAGACTCATCCAAACAGATGTCACTTTTTTTTTTTTCAGAAGTCATCAAACTGAGTTTATTCACATCGTCTATTATATGAGAAAAAGACATAAAATGTAAATACGAAACAAGATCAACCAAACAGGTTTCTAATTAAAAGTAGTTACTTATGGACCCCAGACTAATGGGAATCTTTTGGTATGTCAGATTTTCAAATAAAGTTTATGAAGTATTGCCTTAATTGTGAAAGATATTAGATTCTAATTATATTTTCTAGCTTTCATCCAATCACCACAGATGTCACTTTGTAACATTCAACAATCATTATCAGTTTAATAATAATAATAAGCTGGGGCTGGGGTTGTGGCTCAACGGTAGAGTGCTCGCTCACCTAGCATAGGCGGAACCCGGGTTCTATCATCAGCACCACATAAAAATAAAGGCATTGCGTTGTGTCCATCTACACCTAAAAAATAAATATTAAAAAGAAAGAGTTAAAAAATAATAATAGTAAGCTAATAACGATAGCTATTATCTTTTGGGTACTCTGTGGCAAGTTCTATACATTCTCTCTTCATTTTAAAACAGCCCTATAATAATAGTTAGCATTGTTTATTTACTATGTGTAAGACAATTCTATACTTTTAATGTGCATTATTATTTAATCTTCACATTAAACCTGTTTTGAAGATAATGATTATTAAGCCCATTTTACTGATGAGAAAAATGAGTAGAGAAGTTGGGAAATCTGTTAAAGGTCCTAGCTAATGAGTGGCAAAACCAAAATTAAGAATCAGGTCATTTAGATTAGAAGTTACCTAGCCACAATCCTATGCTAGCTTTCTCTAAGTTAGGCATGATTATTTCCATTTTACAGCTGAAAACTAAGAGGTGATCCAAGGTCACATATCCTGTAACTGGCAAAACTAGAATTTGAACCTGGATATTTTCTCTGCAAAAGCTCCATTTTTTTTCAGAAATTCTATAGCTACTTCTTATTCTCCTTTTTTGGAATTTCTTCTCATCCCAGCTTTTAAGCTTTTAAATTGTTCAGCATTTTAAGTTGTAGGATATCAATACCTCTGATAGCACAAATGAAAGAAGAGTCTCATTCATATCTAGAACCTCAATGACATCTACACATTGAAAAGTGTCAAAATTCACTTCTCTAATCCCTGCCATTCCTCTGAACTCCAGAAAGGTGTGTTCAACCACCCAAATGATATATCTGCTACATCACATGTAGCTTAATATCCAAAATGAATTTTGCTTTCCAAGTTCATTCCTCATGCACAGTTCCCATTGCATTCAATGGCTTCTATTCAGGCTCTCCAGAAGCAAAGCAAGGAAGGAGGCAAGGGAATGGGTCACTTGTCTGAAGGACATTTTCCAAAGGAACAACATCCACAATAATGTTTAAAGACAATATATTGGCATGATAGTTATAACTGATAAAATAATGTTAAAGCAGACAAAATGAAAACTGACAGAAGATGCTTTAAAAAAAAAGTGGTAGTTTTATACTTCTTCCTCCTTCACTAGTCAATGGGAAAACATGAGGAACTAGTTAGAACTTGATTTTGCCAGTGAGGTATTAATCCTTAGCTCTTTTTGCTTCTCTAACTCCTACTTTCTTCATTTTTAAGTTTCAGTTTATATAATCTCACAGACTAGGTAGTCTGTTCCCCTATTTATCTGGTTTCATCCTGCACTGTTAATTCACAAGAGCACTTGCCTAGCTTCATGGCACTGTTAGAATTATAATTCATGGGGCTGGGGATGTGGCTCAAGCGGTAGCGCGCTCGCCTGGCATGCATGCGGCCCGGGTTCGATCCTCAGCACCACATACAAACAAAGATGTTGTGTCCGCCGAGAATTAAAAAATAGATATTAAAAAACTCTCTCTCTCTCTCTCTCTCTCTCTCTCTCTCTCTCTCTCTCTCTCTCTCCCCCCCCTTTCAAAAAAAAAAAAAAAAGAATTATAATTCATTATTGTGCAATTATTTAACTTCTGTGTACCCACAGAGACTGAATGCTCCTGAAGATAGGAACATTGTAGCTTCTTCGCAGCTGCATCCTGAAGCACTTAACATAGTGCTTTTATGTAGTAGGTAGTCAATAATTATTAAATAATGCCTGGTACTTCCTATCAGATGAAGTTATGATTGATTGACTCTAAATAAAGAAAAACAGTTGTGTTTCTACTGTGTGATCACTACCACCCTGTTCAGTAGGGGATATGAGTCACTTGAGTTCCAGAATGCTAGAATCAGAAGTACTCTTGTAGAGCACCCAATATACCTGCATATAGTTAAAAACATCTTTACTCATGAAGATTTTATTCTTTGGGAGACGAGAGGTAAGAGGAAAAAAAGTTAAGTAGAATGGCATTGCCTTGTATGTGCTGTAGGAATTTCGAAAGGGGAAAGGAAAGTATGAGTGAATTAATTAGTGATTTCAGAGAGCACAAGTGAGAGGGCTAAATTTGCGGAGTCTTAGTCATGACATGTATCTTCTGAGAGAATGAGCACAGATGGCAAACCAGAATTTAGAAGAAGAAAACAACAGATGAGGGAGTCAGTAGAAGTAGAAGGAAAGGAAGAAAAAGGGCAAGGCAGGGCAGGGCAGAGTGTGGGGGCAGCTGGCGGAAGAGTAAATGTGAGTGAGTACATGAAAGCAAGTCAACAGGATAAGCCCATTGCACCCTTCACGCACTCAATACTTGGCGCAAGGGGTGGGAGGCAGCCCTCAACCACCCAGTGCCTGTCTCCTGGTGTTCATGCCCTCCTGTCCTCTCATCTTGAATGAAGGCTGGATTTTGTACTAATTTCTCTCTGATGCCACAGAGGTGATGGGATGTTAGTACCAATGATCAGATTATGGCTTAATCTTGGAAAGCAGGCTGCCATGTTGAGTGCCCTTTGGTGTGGCCCACATTGTCAAGGAACTGAAGGACTCTTCCGGCCAACAGCCAACCAGGAACCCAGGCCTGCCAGTAGCCATGTGAGTGAATGTGGAGACCAATTATCTCCCAGTTGAATCTTAAAGTGAATTGAAATCTCAATAGTGATTCCATCCTCCTGGGAGACTGAGCCAGAAACCCTAAGCTAACCTGTGTAGTTTACTGACCAACATAAACTGAGAAATAATGCATATTTGTTGTTTCAAGGTACTAAATTAGGGGATATTTTGCTACCCAGCAACAGATAAATAATACAATGGTAATTATTATACTATGTATGTGTATATATGTTCTTACATATATATTATATATAAGATATTATAATATTATATATAATATTACATAACTTTTTATTTTATTTAAGTGCTAGAGATTGAGCCATCATGTTCATACTAGGAAAGTGTTGAGCTACACCCCAGCCCCAGTTATGATATATTTTTGTAGTGAGTGCTTATAATTCATGTTGTCTTGGCATCCTAAGTTTAACTTTTTGCACACCAGAGGCAATGCTCGGTCACCCTTAACACCATTTCCAAAAACACACCCCACCAGGATGGCTTCAGATCCTGTCCAGAGAGAAAAATTTAAAGGCATCTTACCCTCCAGCAGTCTAGATCCCTCTTTTCCCGCTACTTCCTTTAAAGGAACCCTTCAGACCTTGCCTGAGAACTTAAAGTGACCACTTCTGGAACATGATCTGCTTACTTTCAACACACCAATTAAAGCTCGATGCTGGAAATCAATTTGGATAACACCCTGGACCTAATAAAGACATTGACCCCTGAGTCCCCTTCTCTGTCCCTGACCTCTGTGCTGTGTACCTTTACCTATCTTCTGCTAGTCTGTAAGTACTAAGAACTATTAAACTTTCACATTGTAGTTGTGTCATCGAAGCTGTGCTAGCAATCCAGTCAAAGGTGCGGCCACTCTAGGAGACCCATGCGTGCAGATCCTTTGTTCCCTTGGATGGTAGATACCTGCTAAATTAATAGAACCTCAGAGTTTCATACAAAGCAGTTTCACAATAGAGGGGAGAAAATCATAAGAACAAAAAGAAGACCCTTGGTTGCCGCAGTCTGGCTGGGCACAATCAGGAGCCACTTGTCAAAAGAAACTAACTTTATTTTTAGAACCACACACGCCAAACAAAACAGCCTCTCAGGAAAAACCCTCAGAGCCTCAACTGCCACCACCGGCTTTCCACAAGCCTCTCTCTCCCACACAAGCTTCTCTCCACCTCCCACAATCCTCCTGCTCTTGAGGCCGATTGGCTGGGTCACGTGGGCGGAGCCAAAAAAGTCCCCCAATGAGCAGCTCCATGGTCTGAAAGGGCAGGGAAACAGCCCAATGAGCATCACCGCAGAGGAGCCAATCAGCTAGATGTTGCTGGGGCCGCTGTGAGCCAATCATCAGCTGGCAGCTGGTTGCTGGCAGCTGGAAGTTTGCTGGGGCCCCTTCGGCTGTGGCTCTCAACATCTCCCCCTCTCTGTTTCAACAACAAGCATGTGGCTTAGGGACCGTGCCTGCCTTAGGTTGTCCAATACCATTGCAATTGGATCTTACCCGTCACTGACTACTGGTCCAGTATACAGCCACACCTGTGGAGAGGTCTTTGTACCAGCGGGGGGGGGGGGGGGGGTGAGGTTCTTTGCCTCACCTCTGTTGGCCCCCAAATTTTAGCTGGAGGATCATGACAAGCAGAAGGGAGGAAGATACACCAAGCCAA